GAAATTGAAAGATCTCCACCGATCATGAAATAAGGAGTTTTTTGAGACCACATTTATGTTCCATAAAACTCCATATTGTGCCTCAAACTCCATATCTCCATAAATATGTCCATATATTGGATATTTTGGGTAAAATACACAAAAATAGCTCAAAATCGCTTAATTTTATACAAATTTCGTCACAATTTAACATAAAAATTACAATTATTTTTTTTAAAAAATATTGTACAATAGCTATAAATAATTTTTTCAAAAATCTATTTCCTTGTATTATTAATTCACACAACGTGATTCATTAGTTGGGTGCATCAAATCAGTACAATCCATAAAATCAATTAAACAATATTACAATTTTTTGAAAATATATGGATATATTGTGTGATAAACGAAAAATATTACTAAAGAATACGTTAAATACATAAAATGTCATTTTTGACTAATTTTTGTTTTACTATAAATTGATATGATTATCAGTTTTAGATTGATAAAATCAATTTTGAAACTCCATATATAAGTCCATATTTTGGCATTTTTATGTCCATAAATCCATCCATAATTTTCAAAAATAAGTCCATATATAAATCGACTTTGATTATTACACTTATATTTTAATTGCTGTCATAAATATTATGTGAATAAATATATTTAATTAAAATTTAAAAATATGATAATCTCATAAATATAAATATTATTTATAAAAATTAAGGTAAAATATCAAAGCCAGAAAAATCCAGATAATGTGGTCAAATCTTATTATACATTCATGAAAATAAAAACAATAATGTCGACGCTAAAAATTAAGTAGAATCCATAATTGTTTTATAACGATGTCGTTCTGTAATAAATTAATATTAAATGAGTATGCATAGTATTTATTGTTTTACCGGCATTGTATTGTGTTATCCTAACACTGGTTTAATTTGTAAGTTATCTATTACCACTATTCTGTGTTTAATTATTTATACCATAATTTATTCTTAATTATTTTATATTTCATAATGACTGTGTATTACTACAAGTGTTTTAGATTAGTGTAATAAATCATTATTTTATTAAATATTATCTGTAGTTTATAACTACTACTAAACTGCTATTTCAATATAATTAAACAAGGTTTGCATCAAACTTGTTGGATAATTTATTTACTTTAAGTTAATTATTTTAAACCGAGGAAATCTATCAACAATAATTATCATTTTGAATTGAAGTTACAAATTGGTCAGCATTTTAAACATTATTATAATCTATAGAATATAAATTTAATTTGTTTTACCTATAGTGAATTATTTTTGTAACTTGGAAAAATGGTTTTTAATATAAAGTCACTTAATAACATGTTTAAAATAATATCATATTTGATATGTTTTACGGGATGTTTGTATCAAATGCTGGAAATGAGTTTCATATACTACTCGTACGAAACCACTACTGATGTCAGGTTCGACTCGGAGTCCATACGGCGAGTGCCGGCCGTAACCCTATGTCTAAGCAAAACAGATATGTTATCCGACAAACATAATCACAATATGACCGCATTACGCCGCTTATCATTACGCGCACAATTCAACGCATTCATTGATCCTACAGTTTTATTTAAATGTCTCGTGATTGATGCCAATCAAAAACTTCATTTTTGTACAAATGTTAACAAGTATATTCCATCCATAAACAATGAAGGTCGGTATTGTGTGACGATATTTAAAGATTGGACAAATGAATCACGAGGTAAACAAGAATTAAATATTCTGGCGGATACAAGAGCCCAATTTAATGCACAAATTACATTACTTAATAAAAGTGTTTTAAATTCTCAATTGGTCAAAATTAACATACATTCCCAAGGGGAACAGATATACACTTATTATAAAAAGGGATCAATGTATTTAAATTTTAGCAAAAGCAATGCGTGTCATGTTAAATTTAGAAAAATCAGCATTATATATAAATATAAAATAAAGCAACATTCGCAATGTTTTGAGCAGGGTCAATCGCGTGAGAGGTGCGTTCATGAATGCAGAATAAGAAAATATATCGAAATGTATTCAGCAATTCCCGACTATTATTTGTATCATGATGATAGTTATCTATTTAACAATAATAACATTTATTTTACTCACGTACAAAACACTAGTTTAGAAAATAAATGCGATCGTCAGTGTTCTCACCGTGTGGAGTGCGTACAACACTATTATTCCATGAAGACCATGTTGGTCAATCATTACTCATTCAATGACCGCCATTTTGGCATAATGTTTGAGATACCGTCGGAGCCGGAAGTCATATACACTATTAGCCATAAAATGTCTGCCGAAGAGTACCTGTGCTTTTTGGGCAGTCTTCTGGGCTTATGGTTCGGATACAATGCACTACTGTTGACAAATACTTTGCGAGACTTGTATAAAAAGTACAACATTTTTAATTTTTCTAAAACAAATAATAATATTCACTTAATAAATATTAACCTAAACAACAATGTTCGTTTGGCTGCTCATCAACCTGTTATTAAATCTGTGAGATCTAGTGTTGCCAGAAGCTCCCGGTTGCCGGGGAGTGTCCGGGAATCAGGTTCAGACTCCCGTCTCCCGGCGAGGGTCTCACATTGATATGGTGAGCTATAGGGAATTGCATGATGATGAATACATTGATATAATTTACACTTATTGCGTAGAAACCTGCTATTAAGATGAATGCTACAATAATTAACTTCACAATTATTATTTTACTTAATTAACAATATTAGATTCGTCGAGAAGTATAATGAGTATAGTAATTTTAATTGAATAATGTCATTTGGATTTATGGGAGCATATAGGCAAAGCCTACCTTTTAACACATAGAGCTATATATTATCTAAACATGTTTATAAATAAATATCAAACAATTACAGTTTGTATTTTATTATTATAAGTTATAATTTGTAACTATTGTCAATAAATAATATTTTAACACAAAACAATAAAATTAAAATAACAATAATTAATATAACAATTTTTAATACTACTGTATTACGCCATATGTTTATATTTCATTTGTATTAATTTATAACATGATTATAATTGTTTAATAGTATAATATTACAATTATAGAAATTACAATATGATTATGTATTACTTAAAATTAATAATTTAAACTTTTCTAAAGTATACTTTATGTTTTATGGCTTTTTGCAAGTTTGAATGCCCTTGGTGTAATGATGATCCTTACAATCGCCAGCATTAGCCCATGCAATCACTTTGTCTTCGAGTGCGCCCAGAGTTGTGGCCTCAGCGGCGGTACAATCGACCTAATTGTGGTCGGGGAAAAATTGTATTAATTAATTAATTCAACACGATCATTTAACAGACACAACAAATAATATACTAACCTCACCAACTGATCGCATACAATCGAGTCCAACCCACGCTACACAGCAAGTGTAAGCGGGATCAGTAATGTTTGGGTCAATGTCGGGTATTTTACCATGGACACATGGGTGTAGGTCGTTGTAGCACTTTTTGTAACATGGATCATTTTCCAAGTCTTTGTACGGATCGCTGGCCAGGGTGGTCAATAAATTTAATACAATAGGGCCGCTGTAGGCACACTGTACCACCACCATCAATAATACGGCTAGTGCAAACAAGTTTACCGACATTATGTTGTTGTTTAAATTTACTGCGTTAATTGGTTATGTTGAATATTTTTGTTTATGTGGTTTTTATATATGGTTATTTATACGAAATAAGTTGTTTTGCACACCGTGATGGTTTATTGATTATGGGATTAATTTTTATCTCAAACACCTACTATAATGAGCGAGTATTTGATGTATTAATCTTAATGTTAGTGCATCAGGGTTATGACAAACCATAGACTTTGAAGTATTTTGCAATGATGATAATGGTGAATTCATATCAATTAATATAATTATACCTTTTCTTACTTTATAAATATACTTTAGTTATCTAAACTGTTATATTATAATTAGTTTTTTAATATTCTCATATTTTTGAACTATACTAAATGTTGCAATGATTAACTTTATAATTTTTCAAATCTTATACAACTTAGAATAGATAATTAATTTTACTTTTTAACTTTACTTTAATTTAATAATTAATTTAATAAATTAATATATTATAATAATATAAATTAAGATATATAATAAACCATAATAGCTACTACATAGAAAGTTGAAATATTAATTTAATTTAATTGAAATATAATTATTACAAATAACAATATTAAAAATAAAATATTTTTGGCCAACGAATTCTATTCCCGTTTAAAACACATTATAAACATTTAAAATATTTCTAAAATATTTATAAGAAAATATTACAGTTTAAATATTATTAAAGTACCATTATTATTATTACTCTTATTGGTTTTATAATATAAAATATTGTTATTCTATTTTATTCATATCATTTAAAATTATAATATCAATGAATTAGGCAATTAGTATTAATTTTTAAAATTAAAAATACAATTTTATTTAAGTTATTTAATTTAATTTTATAATTTTTATTTATTATAACATCATAAATGATATAGCTTTAATTCTCAGTTGTTATTATCAACATGAATTTATTGAAAATTATACATTTAAAATATAATAAATATGTTTAAATTTTTATTCAACAATTCAACAATTTTAACACATAATGTATACTGAAATAAATAATTTATTACATTTTATTTAAATGCAACAAAAATACATATGAATAATAACCATATGTAAAATATTTTATAATTTACATATACCTAATTTCTAAATCAAAATACACATTGATTTTTATTGCGAAAAAATGTTACATTGATTTTAATAAATATTTATTTTCATTTATGCGGTCACTATTTGAGTACATTTATTATGAAACGTATTGTTTATTGTTTGTCACATTTAAATAATATACTGTGCTTGATGACATGAAATTGTAATAATAAATATACATTAAAATATATAAATAAAATGCATTATTTAAATTAATAACTAAAAATAAAGGTTTATATTTTTCAACTAGGAAATGTTTGTTACCTTAAAACCTTTTTAGATCTCTTAACATTAAACTTTAACAAAGAAGTGATTTAATATAATGTATTTTATAAAGGTATATGGTATAATTATATTTAATACTCTAATATAAATTACAAATTAATTATCACAAATTTTATTATAGAGATAATTTATACTAGGGATTTAATGCTATATTTACATATAATTTAATATTATAACTAAAATTAGTAACTTTTATTATTTCTAACTTTATAAACAACTTATTTTAATAATTTTACATAAGGTTACATACATACAAATGTAATGTAAATAAATGTGAAGTAATATGATTTAATTTCTAATTATCCTATTTAATAGACATTATAATGACATAATGTAAAGATTATGAGTCACCATGATTAACATAGGTCATTTATGACATATTTCAAAATAATTTAAATAACATACTTTATTTCTAACATATAATAAATAAATCGATTGTAAATGCCCTTAACTTCTATTAAAATCCAACTTATTATGTTATAAAAGTAGCTGATTTTTATAAAACTATTACAGATACTGAAACACACAATGGATTTCAATATGAATAAAACTATTGCAAAGATTTTGCTATATTTTCACCGTGTATTTGGTCTAACATTTGGTGGTCTATACCTGGACTCGAGTACCGGCAAAATGCGACAAAGCCTTGGCATACAAATCTACGGATACTTCGTAAACATGGTAATTATTGGAAACGATATTTATCAAGTTATATATCTGGCATGGGATCTAAACAGCAAATCAACCAATATGTTTGGGTCACAGCGGAGCGACTTTAGCATTGTTGGTAAAGCGATCCTGATCATGTTGAGCGAACAGGTATTGGTCAAAGCGGCTATCATGATCACATTAAATAAGACACATAGTTTTAACATGGTTGTTTTGTGTGTTAATGCACTGAGTGGTCATATTAAACGTTTATTTATACGAAAAATTATCCTGGTTATTTTGCTATGGTCACTTCACGTTGCTTGTATTTTATCAGTCACCACAGTTACCGCGATACAAAACAATGGCACTTTAAACGTGACCGAGATGATTCGTACCGTCACTTACAATATGACATTTGTCTACTTTTGGTCGGCACCGCTACTTACATGGTTTGTATCGCTATATTGCAGCGATATATTGGACACCATGTATGACGAACTGACACAAATTAACGATAGTGGTAAATAGTAATTTAGACAATATCACTTGTTAAACTATAAACTTAACCAGTTTTAATTACCTATATAGATTCCATCATAACGCGTTCCAGAAACTACCCTGTCATAAATTTTTCAAAACTTACAAAAAATCGTAAACTTTTCGTACAGTTAAGGGATACGATTGGGGCGTTGGACGGGTGGCTACAGTGGGTGTTAGGTCTAATCGTACTGAACACTGTATATACAATAATGCTTGACATATACGTCCTATCCCTGTGGGACCGTTTGCCAGGCATTAAGGCATTCGCACAACTCATAGCGTTTAGCACAGTGTCGGCCGTCGTAGAGCTGTTGATTACCTGTCGGGTGTGCGGTCAGTGTCGGGACAAATCGGGCCTAATTTATGACTGTCTGGACAGTATGAGGGGCGCAGACATGTCCGACGCCGAGCACCAGGAGTGGGCTATGTTCAAGAGAGTGTCGCGCGAGTTTCGTAAGTTTTGTTTCACCATCGGTGGTTTTGTTTGCTATGGTAATAGTACGCTAATTTCGGTATGTGTGCATGTTGCAATTATAAATATTTAAGTTTAATTATGATTACTTTGTTTTATTTATGTAGATATTCACGTTTGTGCTAAACTATACGGTCATTTTGGTGCAGACAAAAGGCAATTAGCACTTTGTCGTTTGTTTATAATACTTGCAATAAGTTATTGTATGTTTAATATTATAATGTTGTGTTTAATTATAATTATTATGATGTCCTTTGTCCAACTATTTTAATAGTGTTAGTATTTAATGTTAAAAACTTAATATTTAAATAAATAAATTATAATAAAATAAAATATTATTATAAAAAATTAGTATTCAAATAAGAATAATTTACAAAAGAATATTTAGTACATGTCACTCAAATGGATAACTGCCCCACTAATTATAATTATTATAAACTTATATTTTATCAACCAATTTTCTTTTATAAATATGACATTAAATAAAATATAATTTGATAAACATTTTAATATTCTACAGTATATTATAAAACATATTAATCATTAAATAAGCAAAAAATTAAATAATTTAATTTTAAAACTATTTAAGTGATAAAATCACAAACAATGCTATCATTAATTAACAAACACTGGTTTCAGTGCACAATCGCTTTGTTATGGTTTTATCGGGCAATTGGCATAACATTTGGCGGTATAGCCATTGACCGCAATACTGGACTAAAACCAGTTAATAAGAGTCTAAAATATTATGGTTATATCATTATGATTATGGTAATTATATCCAATATATACGTTATCGTAAGTACACTTCGGGGACAATTCATTATTGGTCACACCATTAAGTCTGATAGCGTGCCCACTCAAACGGCAGTAATTTATATCACGGTCGAATTGTTTCGCGTTTTAGAATGTACATTTATTATTTGCATTTTAAATAGTTTCAATGGTCATAAAATGATCAAGATTATTGTTAAACTACTCGGTTATTTTCACAATGTAAAAATTAGCAAACTAATTATCCATGTAATAATTAGCTATTTTATATGTCTATTAACCCTAATTGTATTGACTGTAAACACAATGCATAATCGTATTGGTTTAATAACTACACTTGATTATATACGAATAATCACAATTACATATAAATATATTTTAACATGGTCATTTACGCTATATATCTGGATTAGCGTGTTGATAATATGTCAAATATTAGATGAAGTTTATTGCAAACTTATGCAAATGGCGAAAGATGAATCTGGTAAAATATCATTTGTTTTATTTTAAATATACATTTATATTTGTAAATAGTTTTTAATTTATACATAATTACTAGTGTGGGTAAATTATAAAAATTATCACGATTACCTATTGTACTTATGCGCACGACATAATTTTGCAAGCTCAATAAATTTATTCAATATGGTAAATAGTGCTATCGATGCAATTAACAAAATTATTGGTATTTTAATCTTATTACAATATGTTAATAAAATTATATGTATTATGGTTGGTATATATGTATTGACCCGGATTAATCTATTTATTGGCATAAACGGACTTACAGAAATTATTGTTTTTGAAACCATAATTGATTTGTTGAGTATAGTAATCAGCTGCTTATTATGCGATGCTTTAATTAGCAAGGCAAATAAAATCATGGATATATTAAACGAGATTAACACACAGAAGTTGACTAATTCAGGATTTAGACAATGGCTTACATTTATCAACATTATTGAAACGCACGGCACGTTTGGGTTAACTATTGGGGGCTTTGCTGTCATTGATAAACAAACGCTTATTTCAGTTAATAAATTATATTTATTACTTTATTTGATTAGTTATTGAAATTACTAATTGTGATTTATATTGATTCATTTTAGATAATAACATTTATTTTGAACTACACGGTTATCATGGTGCAAACGCTAAATTGAAATAATTAATGTAA